TCTCAAACACAAGGGCTTGTGTGTTTGTCTCTGCCCTCAAGGTCTGTAGCCTCAGCGCTCAAGAGGGAGCTGCTAGACTGAGAAGGAGGCTGATTGACATCAAGGAAGGACAAGCCTTGCCCTGTGGGGGTCAGACTTTTCCAGCTGGGGAATTGTCTGATCACTTGAAGGAAGTGGGTTTATCACAGGGACAGACACCATGGCTGAAAAATCAAGGTCTTCTGCAGTTTCAGGCCATGCGGGAGCCAGAACCCCGTTTTATTGTCTGCATTGCGTGGCTTCCTTCACCTGGCTCATACGGGGGCCAACTTGCACCGCACACTTCTTCCCTGGATTTCCTCTCACTCCTGTCCAACGACCTCGGAAAGGCTTTCGGTGGCACCGTCCCTTTCTTTACTGCATCTGTATGCACCCAAAGAGCCCGAACCACAGGTGGCAAGTACAGCAGCATACCAAGGAGAAATCCGTACCACCAAGTGATACAAAACCAACCAATCAACCAACCAAACTCACGGCCATCGAGCCGATGCCCACCAGGGCGACCCTGTAAGACAGGGTAGAGCTGCCCCTGTGAGTTTCTGAGACTGTCACTCTTCACTGAGAGTAGAAAGCCTTGCCTTTCTTCCGAGGAGTGGCTGGTGGTTTTGAACTACTGACTTTGCCATGAGCAGCCCAATACGTAACCCACTATACCACCAGAGCCTCTCTAAACCCTACAAGGTTAGGTTAAAAGAAATATTAACATAGAATCTTAGAAACCGTTACTAGTGCTCGCTTTGGCAGCACATATACTAAAATTGGAACGATACAGAGAAGATTAGCATGGCCCCTGCGCAAGGCTGACATGCAAATTTGTGAAGCATTCCATATTAAAAAAAAAAAAAGAAAGAAACCGTTACTAAACAAAAATATCAAAATGCGAAATTATTTCTCGACACATGCCCCATCCAGGTCTACATTTCCAATACTGCTGATGTCTCCAACTCTCCCCCAAAGAATCCTATGCCCCTCGACTGACATCACCTCAAACAGTAGTTCTGGCCTCAAGGGACTTAAATTATGTTCCTTTCCATGTTCTTTGGGTTTGGGGAACAAACCAAAAATGTCTGAAGGTACAAGATCAGGGCTTGAATCAGAAATCGGGATGGCTGGGATAAGGTTTTCCAATGGTCTTCTCGTAGGGCAGTCCCCTGAAAAATGAGCAGGTGTACTGTCACGTTGGGGCAAAGATTCCTTGGTGATACTTTCCTGGTCTTTTCCTCGCCAAGGCAGCTTTCCCTTTTCTGAAGACTTCTTCATACTAAGCCCTCTGTGTCGTTTGAGAAAATCGATCAAGATTACCCTCTTGGGAATCCAAACACCAGCCACCACAACCTTCTCTGAGGTCAGCAGAGAGCTGCCCTCTCTGCCTTGAATTTAACTGGCCCAGCAGATTTCCTCAGAAGCCACCCTTTTGACTGGAGTTTATTATTATTATCATTTAAATCATTGTAACAAGACTAAGCCAAGTGCATTGCTGAGTGAACGTCTCTGCAGCCGTCCACTGATTGAAGAGACGCGTGTAAACACGTTTTGTTTGGGATAAACCTGTGTGTGTATGGACTATATAGATACTGACGAGTATCTGTACTTTTCCCCTTACCCTCTTATTCCTGAAGATGGCTAGACCGTCTGTGTTCCCGTCAAAGTGTTTTGTGCTTCTTCCTCCTTCCATTAAATAGGAACCATTAGAATTCCAAAGCATTCATCCATTTGCTATTTATTCGTTCAAGAAACATGTATTAACTGATTTCAAATGGCAAAGAAAGATGTACTGAGTACTCCTTGCTAACCAGACAAACAGTGAGGCCTCAAGTATACAAACAGAGGTACAGGAAACATCGGAGGTCTTTCCTCTTGGAACTTTGAGCTTCACGAGTCTAAGAGTCAAGCACTGCTAGGGCTTGAAAACTGAAACCATCTACCCTCACACAGCTTACTGCCTACACGCCCCTATTCTTCCACGGCCTCCTTGGGTTAACTAGTAGTCCAGTAGCCTCTTGCCCATGAAAATGAGCATTGCAACGAACGATTACTTGGGCCAGGAGTGTCTGGAAAGAACCATCGGATCTTCAGCAGAAATCCTCAGGGCACAGCTTACTTCGTGCTGCAGTGACAAACATCCCCCTTGTGGGTGTCTGGGAAGAGGAGAAACTCATGTTCTTACAGTTCAGGAGGAGGTCCTTGGCAGGTCTTAGCTCGCAGACTCTGCTCACATAGAATCGATATCCCTCCAGCCTTCCCGTGTGTGTTTTGGACTCCATTCTTCCCTTTTTATATCTTTCAGAAAACCAAACCAAACCGAAAAAAGATATCTTTCGGAAGTGATTAAATTAGGGCCTATCCTATTCATGTATAACCTCATTAACATAATATTAGAAAACCCTGATTTCCAAACAGGATCATATTTCTAAGTATGTTAGAATCGCTAAAGTGTTAGAATTCCTACACATTTGGGATGGGGTGGGGGCATAATTCAATCCAACACACATCCTAAAGCCATTTGAACCTTTCTCTTCAAAATCCTCTTTATCATGGCCATCTAAACTATGTAATCATGACCTGTAGCCAAGCTCCTGCCCTGGCATTGAAAGAACCACTCTAAACCAAACTTCAAAGTCTCAAGACATATCTCGCCCCGCATCCTTCTCTCTATGAGAAATTGTCACACTCTGCCGAGGGGTGAGCAACAAACTCAGCTTGGTCTTATCAGCAGACTGTTCTGGTCTTATTTGAGGAGCCAGCATTTGATAAGGGGTCAGGGATATACTAATGAATAATGTTCTCTCAGGGTTTGTATTCTAGAGACAGGCCAGGAGGCACATAAATCTGGAAGATACATAATATTTAACAAAGTAAAGACAAACAACACACCAAAAATGAAAGCCAAACTCACCTCAAGGTGGGGCTTTCTACCCCTGTCCAGAGTTACCGTCTCAGAAACCTCCTGTGACCATTCGTTCTACCCCACCCTACAGGGTCGAGATGAACAAGGCCCAAGTTAGTTAGGGTGTGCTAACTGAGAAGGCCATGAAGGGCACAAGGAGTGAGAATGAGGAGTGTTTGCTGCTGTGTTAGTCTGGGTATTTTAGAGAAACAAATTCACAGAAACTCATGTATAAGAGAGAGTTTTATATAAAGGTTAAGTGCAAATCAAAAAAAACATCCCAATCCCGTGCTGCCCAAGCCCACAAGTCCAACATTGACCCATATGTCCGACACCAATCCACAAAATCCTCCTTTATCTCACAAAACACACACAATGACGCCGACTGCAGGAGGAAAGCCAAATCAGTGAATGTGTAAACATCTCAGGGCTGGCAGGGGTCTCCACACGGCTGCTCCAGCACCCAGAGCTGCACTGGGGTAGGTCCATGCGGCTTCTCCTCGGGGATGTCTTGCAGGAAGTGAGCCTTGCCAGCTGAAGCAGGGAACCGGCCAAGGCAGCTACACCCTGGTCCAACCATTGGAAAGCCAGAGACCCGAAAACTCAAAAGGCGAGGCTCCCTGAGCCATTTATCTCCCCACCCTTCAATTAACTCCACCTGTGTTTATCGGCGGGATTGGCACAAATAAACTTTAACTAACCCAGCTACTTAGTGAAGAGGCCCTAAAACTGTTTGGCAATGAAGTAAGCTGGAGGTGTAGGGAGAAAGTGTTCCGCAGGTTCCAGAAATAAGGAAGCCAGCAAGAGAGGAGACGAGGGAGGGAGAAAGTGAGAGGCAAGAGATCTCAACCTACTTTCCTTATTAGTAAAGCACTTTAACCTTTTGTTTAATTATGATTCTCACAACAGATTTATCTTCAACCCGTCATTCCCCGGACTGGTGCCAGAGTGAGCATTCTAGATTAAATGAACCTGCGAGGGTCTGTCTACAACTGCCCGCATGGCAAAAAAAAAAAAAAAAAAGCTGTCCACCTCTCACCACTTTCATTGATGAGGCACTTGTAGCGCTCTCTGGAGCTTTCTTCCACCCTCTTATTAGCTGAAGCGACTCCTTGGGTTCCAGAGAAGTGTATTCTGGGAAGACACTGCCTGAGACCCTCCCGGGAGGCTAGCCCACCCGCCTGGATGCAGCTGCAGGACACTGAAGTCCAACTCAGGACTAACTGGTTTGTGGGAAAAGAGGAAAACAGGAGCCACGTTAGTGAATGATGTCCTCGTGCTTTTGTCTAATGATTTGCAGGACGTTTCTCTCTCTGTCTCTTGTGGTGCGGCTGGCTGCAGTTGGGTGTGTGCGGGTGCGCACGCACGTTTCTAAAAAACAAACAGGCCAACAGAGCTGCACAGTGCCCGTGCTGGGTTGGTTTGGTCTATTGCTCTGAATTAACTCCCCAGAAATAGTGCGAGGGAGTCCTGGTGATAGTGGGTAAAGAGTTGCGCTGCTAACCACAAGGTCGGCAGTTCAAAACCCACCACCTCCGCAGGAGAAAGAGACCAGGCATTCTACTCCAGCAAAGAGTGCCAGTCTCTGAGACCCACAGGGACAGTTGGACCCTGTCCTGCGGGGTCGCTATGACATCGAATGGACTGGAGGCCAGCGCGCTTGGCTTGGGTTTGGCCAGATGTGCCAGATGTGCCGCGCCGCGGGGGGAGGCCTGCACCCAGGCTCCGGTGGAAGGCGGGCTCCTCTCTGCTCTCCTCGCCCCCATGAGCTCCCATCGGATGTGCAGACTCCCATCTGGCAGGGTCCACGCCGCACACAAACATCCGCCCCTGTTGCGCTCGCCCTGCGGCTGGGGGGCCTCTTCCCGGGGGCTCGAGGGCTGACGTTCCCAAGCCTGGTGCACGCCCTCCTCCCAGGCCCCAAGTTCATCTCACGCACCGTGTCCAGCTTCCTGTCCTCGGGCCCCCTCCCGCCCCGCTTCCCTGGCCCCTCCCTCTCCCCAGCCGACCCGCCCGCCCGCCCCCCTCCCCGATCCCTCGGGTCCCGGGATGGGGGGGGCGGTGCGGCAGTCACAGCCCCCCTGCCCCCATGGCCGCCCGTCGGAGCCCGAGGCGGAGTGGGCGCCGGGGGGCGCCGGGCACCGCCCTGCTGGCCCCCCTCGCACTGGGCCTGGGCCTGGCGCTGGCCTGTCTCGGCCTCCTGCTGGCCGCCGTTGGTCTGGGGATCCGGGCGGCGCCTTGGACCCAGGTGAGACCCTGCTGCACGCGCCCCCTGGGCACGCAGGCGGGGCGGGCAGAGGGAGGGTGGAGGGCCTAGGGCGGGGGCTGGGAGGAAGGCAGGCTGTCAGGTGGAGAAGGGCAGAGTGACGTTGCTCCTCCCCGGCAGGGGCCTTCCCAGGGAGACCTGGTAGCAGAAGAGGACGAGGACCCACTGGTGAGTGGCTGCGGGCAGGCGAGGGGTGCGCGTGCCAGGGCGGGTCGGGGCGAGGGACGCGCAGAGTGGGTGTGCAGGCAGGTGTGCATTTGGACGGTGGGGCACGTGTGTGCGCGTGTGTGAAAGACAGAGAGAGAGGGGGCTGTGTGCCAAGCAATCTGGGCTGGTTTGTACCAACTATAAATGCTGATGGGCTGTGGGAGAGGGGGGCGTGTGTGCACGGAGTGGTACCCACTGCGCAGTCCAAGAGGGTGTGAGAGCACGCAGAGTGCAGGGGAGCACAGGGAAGGAGTGGGTTCTGGCTCAGGGGCAGGTGGGGGATGACTGGCCTGAGGAAGGGGATGAGGGCTGGGTCTCACTCCAGAACCTTGCTTTCCTCATGCCCCATGCTCCTCTTGGATGAGGGCACCTCTCTCCCTAAGATTCCAACGCCTGTGGCTCGCTGGTGGTTCTCCTGATAGCCCTGGTCTTTCTCAGTAGTCCTCGTTGCATCGTGGGTGTGCAGCGGGTTGCTAGCTGCAGGGTCGGCCGTTCAAAGCCACCAGGAGCTCCGAGGGAGAACAATGAGGCTTTCTACTCCCACAAAGAGTGACAGTCTCGGACACCCACAGGGGCAGTTCTACCCTGTCCTGGAGGGTTGCTGCCAGTCAGAATCAACTCTATGGCAGCGAGATCTCTGGGTCTCCTGGGCTCCATGGCCAGATGCTGGATCTCACTCTGCCCTTCATCCCCTAGGAATTGAATCCTCAGGCAAAGGAAAGTCAGGGCCCCACGCCTTTCTTGAACGGCCTCGCTCGACCTCGCAGAAGTGGTGAGCGTCCTCCACCCTCATTCGGGACTCGTCACTGGCCGAGGGTGACACCTGGATTCCTCCTGTGCGGCAGGCAGACCAAAACCCATTACTCACCCTTCTGGATGGAGAAGCTGAGGCTCAGAGAGTGAAGGGGAGGGGAGAGGCTCAGAGTTATGCAGGTAGCCAGCTGAGCAGAGCACCCAGGGACGCTGACCCTCTTGTTGAACTCTGCTTCTCCCGTCTAACCCTAGCCCACAGATGAATGGGTGGCCAGGAATTAGGGGGGCCCTCAGGGGATGCTCGGAGTCTTGAAAGGTGGTACTGTGGGTTAGCCATTCAGCTGCTAACTTGAAGGTCAGTGGTTCAAACCCACCAGCCACTCCTAGAGAGAATGATGAGTTTGTCTGCTTCCATGAAAATGTATATATAGCCCCATCCCTCAGGACCAATCATGAGAGTAGCCAAACCAGGAGGGGAAGGCAAGAAAGGGGGACCGATCACAAAGATCAACACAGAATCCTCTCCCTGGGGGATGGACAACAGAAAAGTGGGTGAAAGAAGATAGCAGTTGGTGTAAAACATGAAAAAAAATTAATAAATTATATAAAGGGTTCATTGGGGGTGGAAGGAGGAGCTGATACCAAGGGCTCAAGTAGAAAGACAATGTTTTCAGAATGATGATGGCAACATATGTACAAATGTGCTTGACACCATGGATGGATGGCTGGATTGTGATAAGAGTTGTAAGAGTCCCCAATAAAATGATTTTTTTTTAAAAAGAAGAAGATGTACAGCCTTGGGAACCCTGAGGAGCAGTCTGCTCTGTGGCACCGAGGGTCTCCCTGAGTCCAAATCACCTTGGCAGAGGGCAGTGGTTTGGGTCTTGATGGGGATAAGTTGGGGTCACCAGAGTCATGGACCCTAATCAACAAAGAAAAGAGGAGTGAGATGACCATATGACCATATATATTGTTCTGCTGGAAATGTCCTGGTGTCTGTTCAGGATCTCCATGTGCTCTCGGCAGTGTCCTGGCTTCTATAAGCAACTCTATAGTCACGCTCCTTATGGAGGAAGAGGAAGCTCTGAGAGCACAGATCTGAACAGAGTCTGGATGGTAGGGGGCTGGGAGGGGAGAGGGCTGGGGGAGGGGTTCCCAGGTGCCCTGGAGGGCACAGGGTTGTCCATCTGTCCTCCCTCGACTCTCAACAGCTAAAGGCCGGAAACTCCGAGTTCGCCGAGCAGTTGCAGCCCACTATGAAGGTGGGTGGTGGGGAGCCACGCTGGGAGGAGGGATGGCAGAGGGGCTGGGGTGTGGAGAGGCCTCACCATCCCTTTCCTGGATCTTACAGTTCACTCACGGCCGGGACAGGATGGCGAGCAAGCGGGTGAGACCTCTTCCCTACCTCTGACCTCCATAGCACTGGCCTCCTGGGACAGGGGCCCCAAACACCTTTGATTCCCCCAGGCCCCGACCTTCAACACCCTCCCTTCAGTCCCCCAAAGTCAGTTTGTGGAACCCCCAGGGCTTGGTTCTCTCAGGTCCCAAATCTGCCTCCCCAGGACTCAGGTAGACACCCCGACTTGCCCACCTTTCTCCTTTTGCCCTTTCCTTTGCTTTGCATTTTTTTTTTAGACACATACAAAAGATTTATTGCATTCCAATAAGGAGCTCTAGTGGTATAATGGTTCTGGGTTGGGCTGGGATCCACGTGGTTGGCAGTTGAAGCCACCAGAAGCTCCACAAGAAAAAGACCAGGGTTTCTTTCTTTTAGCACTTCAACCACATGTCATACAATTCAATAATTCAATCATATCAAGAAGAATCATAAAATTCTAGAACATTTTCTTCTTCCTTGTACTCAGTTATTCATGCAATATTTTTTTCTAATTGTGGCAAAAATATACAGAACAAAACATTCTCTAATTCAATAACTTCTACATGTATAATTCAGTGCTATTGATTATACTCTTCATGTTGTACAACCATTATTGATATCCTTTTCCAAATTATTCCACTTTTTTTTTTTTTTTTAAGGAGCCCTGGTAGCATAGTAGGCTACATGTTAGACTGCTAACCAAAAGGTTGGCAGTTTAAAACCACCCGTTGCTCCTCGGGAGAAAGATAAGGCTTTCTATTTCCATAAAGATTTATACTCTTGGGAACCCACAGGGGCAGCTGCACTCTGTCCAATAGGGTGACAGTGGGTCCGAATGGACCAGAAGACAGTGACTTTGTTTAAGTTCCTTTCTTTCCATCCATATTCCACTAGTCTTCCCGTCCAGATCATTTTCCTCAAGGGGCCTCTAGGCTCTGTTCTCTTCAGACCACACCTCAGTGTCCTAGATTTGAAACCTCAAGCCCAGCCTCTAGCTCCGTGTCTAGGCCAGGCTTTCTCTACCCCTTACACTTTACACTCATTCCCCATCTCTTCTTCGCTGGGCTCCGAGCGCTCCCGGGTCGAGTCTCACCACATGGCCTGCTCTCTCCCAACACCCTTCCGCATTCTCCACACTTGTTGCGCTGATCTTTCCAGGAAGCCTCTTCTTGACTCTGTGCATACTGTTCCCCCACCTGGACGCCCTTCCATAACATGCAGGAGACCAGATATGATGGTGGCTTGAGCTAAGGTATTCACAGCGAGATGGAGAGCCATCAAGGGGCTCAGCGAGTGTCTTAGGGCTTGTGAGTTGGATATGAAGAGAAAGAGAAAGGGAGGAATCATTTATGTTTTCTAGATTTCTTTTTTTTACCTTCTGGAATTTTTAACTTGAGCATGGTTGACAAACTAAAGTAGAATCGGCCAATGAAGAAATAGATTGGGAAGGATCGATGAGCGATGAACCTACTGATGCCTAATAATAAACTAAAAGAGTCCTGGTGAGGCTGTGGGATAATCCTCTTAACCACAAAGATCAGATGTTCCAACCCACCCACCGAATCACTGGAGAAAGATGAGGCAGTCTGTTCCCATACAGATTTATAGCCTCAGAAAACGTATAGAGGGTCGTTATGCGTTGGCATGGGCTCGGTGGCAAAGCGCTGGGTTTGATTTTGTGGTACGAAGCAAGTGAATTCCACAAATAGACAGCTGGACAGATGAGGCCAGCTCGGGGGCTAGGTCAGGACCCAGAAAGCCAGGAGTCATCACCATGTGAATGATGATGTAGAACGAGAGGATCGGGTGAGACAACCAGGAAGAGGGTAAACCCTCAGGCACTGGGATTATCTTGAAGGACGAGAGAGCAAGGGAACTCAGCCAAGGAGACTGAAGAAACTGGCAAAGAAAGGGGAAGAAAACCAGGGCAGGGCAGGGTCCTGAAATCAAAGGGAATCTAAGAGAATGTGACTGTGGGTTAAACGGGGCTGAGCGATCACATGAGAGAACAGAGAAGTAACTCTGGGTTTGGCAATATAAAAGTCAGCTGGTGCCCTTGACGCAAGCGGTTTCAGTGGCACGTTAGGGTAGAAGCTAGCCTGGACTGCACTGCGAAGAGTATGGGAATCGGAGAACTTGACAAGTCTTTCTAGAACTTTGTCCATGCCAAGAGCAGAGAAATAGGCTTATCTGAAATGGGGAACAGCTGTGGGGTCAGGGGAAAGTTTTCTCCTTTTAGGGAAAAGAAGAGCTGCATTCATCTGACCTGATATTTATTGAGTACTCATGTCTTCTGGTGCCCGGGTGAGAGGACACGCACAGTTAATGTACCTGGCTGCTCACCAGAGATTGGCGGGTGGTTCAGGCCGACTCGGGTGCTTTGGACGAAAGCTTGTCTACCGACTTCTGACAAATCAGCCATGGGCACCTCAGAGCACGGTTCCACTCGGACACACGTGAGAGACGTGCGTCTAAACTGACCCCATGGAGGCTGGTTTTCAATAGTGCCTGGTCTAGCCCATTTGATGTGCATATAGCCCTCTCAGGAAGGGACTCAGATTTCCTCCATTCTATCGATGGGAAAGGAGCCATTCTATAGATGGCACAGTTAAGTGCTCAGCTGCAAACCGAATGGCTAATGGATCGAACCCACGGAGAAACGACTGTCTGTTGTAGAGGTTATGTGTTGGGCTGCCTGCCATCTTCAAGGTCAGCGGTGTGAAACCACCAGTAGGGCTTTCTACTCCTATAGAGCTACAGTCTTGGAAACTCCCTAAGGGCAATTCTACCCTGTCCTGGAGGGTGGCCATGCTTCAGCATGGGCTCAGAGAAACCCCTATCGGGCCGGTCCCTGCTGTCATTTTTGGTCACTAGGAGTAGAAAATTGACCTGACATCACCTAGCAACAGGATTTGGATTTCGCCCCTCTAGAGCCTGCCTTGTGGACCGGACCTAGTTGGAGTGAAAAGCAAGGTTGCTGGCGCAGGAGGCAGGGTAGCCTGCAGGGGCAGTGACTGAGGTGGGAGGGTGCAGCATCCAGAGCCATCATCAGAGGAGCAGGTGAGAACAGAGGGACTGGTGTGGCAGGTGACGTTGAAGTCGCCCTTGCTTTATGGTGTCCAGATCGTCTGCAGAAGGAAGGGTCGTGGTGCGGGGAGAACAGGCAGGAGATGTGAGGAGAGCTGGTTCTTAATACTTGTCTTGGTGGGCGAGGAGGATAACCAGGCAGTTTGGTGGTGTTGGTGGTTGTGAAACTGAAGTGACATCACGTGTGTCTTAGGCATACCAGGTCACATGGCTAGAAGTGTCATGTGCCACGACCAGCCTTCATTCTAGCTAATCCCGCAGCCAGGAAGACCCTCCTTCTTCCACTCCCAGGTCAGTCTTCCTCCCCTTTGCACGCACCACTTAGTTGAGGGGCTGCCCAGACATTCCTTCCTTGACTCGGCACACCTGTACAGAGACCCTGTCGTGGCAGGGACTGGGCTCGGTGTCCCGAGTGAAGACCTACCCTAAAGAGTCTAGGCAAGGAGATCTTCATATACGATTGGAATTGTTGACGTGAACAAAACTAAAAGTAGCCAAAGATAGGTGAGAGTGTATTGAACCAACTTAACTTTGTCACGAAGGCTGGGCCTGCTTCCCCAGGAGGAGGTGGCTTTCCCGAGTGTAAGGTGAGCCAGGGGTGGAGGGCATTCCAGGCAGGAGAAACTACTTGTGTCAAAGTCCAAGAGTGTGATGAACCTGGAGGGCGGTGAGGAGTCCTGGGTGGCCGAGCCGAGAGAGCCAGAGAAGCAGGATGGGGTGGGGCTGGAGAAGAGCACAGGAGCCCAGGAAAGATGGAATCTGAAGCTGAGGGTGAGCCACTTGGCAGACTGAAGCAAAGCGAGGGGAGTCAAATCTGCATGTGAGAACAATCGCTCTGGCCGTTCTTGAGCATGCCTGGGAGGAACGGTGGTTGGAAAGGAGTCCTAATGAGAAATGGCAGAGGCCAGGCCAGTACTGTTGATGGGGCGGAGCTAAGTAGGAGACAGGCTGGAGAGAAGCTGGAGATCGGGAGGGTGGGGATGGTAAAGGAGAGGGGGCTTAGGGACCTGGATGGGTGGGGTGGTGGTGGACTGTGAGGCAAGTTTGAGTGAGGCAGGGAAGAGACCGGCACATTTTGGGTCAGATCAGGTTTAGGTGTCCATGGCTAGTCAGATGGCAGTTGCTGGCACAGGGAGGACCAGTAGGTAATGTGGCTGGGGATTGGATCTGGAGCCTGTCGGATAATAACGGCCTGATAAGCTCCTGGGTGTAGATGGAAATGCCCGAGGACACCCAGGATGGAGGAATCCATATAATTTTCAAGGATCCTGCTTCTAGATTTTCATTTCTTTTTGACGACAGATTTATTGATACATAACTAGCATCCCATACAACTCACCGACTCGCAGTGTACAAGTCCTTGGGTTTTCATTGCAGAAATGGTGCAGGGTGGGGTCCGGCATTCTCTACCATCTCCGGGCCGAGGAAAAATCAGTATCAGTGCTTCAGGCCTATGAGATGGAAGGCAGGCATGCCTCCCTCACCAATATTTTGTACCAACTCTGACGTCAGCAGAGCCTTGGTGGTTACAAGTTGGGCTGTTAACGGCAAGGTCAGTAGTTCAAAACCACCAGGCAGCTCTGAGGGAGAAAGAGGAGGCTTTTTACTCCCATAGGAGTCAGTCTCAGAAACTCACAAGAGCCAGTTCTGCCCTGTCCTATAGGGTCACTGTGAGCCCAGCACTGATTCGAAGGCAGGGAGTCTTGGTTTTTCTGACAGCGGCTGCCCCTCCCAGGGCAATCTCTGTTTGTCTGCTGACTTTGTTAAGTCATTGCAGTCAGAGCTGGGGGGTTTGCTACAGGGAGGTCACGGCTTTTGATCAGGGTCTGGAACACCCAGGATTTTCTTCTTCAAGCCACATGGCTCCCGGTTGCTGCCCTGCTCCCGGAAATGTTACTAAGCTCTTGTACCTCTGCGGATCAATGCCCAGTGGTACTCCACTCCACTAGTAAGTTTTGGCATAAAGCACCTCAGCTTGCATCAGTAAACCGAGCTGCCCAGACAAGTGCCTGGGTCCAGAGCACCGCACTCTGCCAGCAAGCCTCCTGCCAAGAGGCACCGGGCTCCCTGGCTCTGTGGGCTCTAAAGCCCACTGCTCTGTGCTGACCCCTTCTCCTGCTGCAGCTCTCTGCCTCAGCTTCTTGCTGCCTCTTGTCCCTGTCTTTGGCACACTGTAAACCTGGCTCCTTTTAAACTCAGCAGGATGACAAAACTGACCAGACTTTCATTAGGGGACCACACACTGCTTGGCATGGCCCCACCCACAAGGGTGTCATGTTCCTTATTCACCTGAGTAACAAGCTAGCCAATCCCTCAATGGCCCACAAACACATCATTTGCATAACCCTACTCATTTGCGTAGTCCTATCCACTCATTTGATGAGTTACAGAGGCTACCTAAAAGGGGTTTCTTCCCTAAATAGCCTTGTTATCAGGCAGAGACATTATAAAGGTGATTATGGTAGATGTTCGTAAAAATATAATATTATTTGATCAACCTTTGACCCATTTCAAAGCTGTCTCAGTTGAAAAAGAAAAGGGAAGAGGCAATACCCAGGCATGCAGCCTCGGGCATCCCCTCTGACCCCGCACCAGGGATGTGAATGGACTTGCCAATGCTGGCAGATGCAGTGAGGTTAACATTGAACACCTTATCATTTCATCTCCCTTTTAACCTCTTTTGAAGTTGTTCTAGTTTTTAATATATTATTTTTGTTTTTATTGAGATTTTCTCTATTTTGTGATAGTTGTTATTTTGTTTCGTTTGTATGTTTTTCTGTATATGAGATCCAAGATAGATAAATATACAGTGAGAGTAACTAGATGAATGGTTTCCCGGGGGACATGGGGTGGGGAAATGGGGATCTAATAACAATGAGTACAAGAAAGGAGCAGATGTTCTAAAATTGATTATGATGATGATTGTACAACTCTTCTCGATAGTACTGAACTACTGAACTGTACCATACATGAACTATGTGCCAATAAAACATTATGAGTTTTAAATAAATAATTCACTAAATAGGAGCCCTGGTGGCATAGTGGGTTCTGCTGCGGGCTGCGAACTGCAAGGACAGCAGTTCGAAACCAACAGCCACTCCACGAGGAAGGTGGGGGGTTCTCCTCCCTTTGTGGAGAGTGACAGCCTGGGAATGCACAGGCAGCCCCACTCTGCCCTCCAGGGTTGCTCCAATGCGCCCTGCTCTCACCATCCATTTTAGAACATTTCCATCCCCTCAAAGTCACCCCGACTTTGACCTGGAGCCCCCGGTTGATACAAGTGACTAAGTTTTACTTTATGTCACCTCAGGGTTGGTGGTTTGAATCAATCCAGGGGCACCATGAAAGAGAGGTCTGGCATTCTTTGCCCAAAGCTCGCTGCCATGGGGAACCTTCACAAGTGCAGTTCCACCCGGACACACATAGGGTTGCCACCAGGTCGAAGCGATGTGTAGCAAACGAGTTTGATTTTCACCCAGTAGCCGTCACTGTCCAGCTCCCCTAGTTACTCCCCCCACCCCACGACCCCCAGCAATCTCCTTTCTGTCTGTCTGTGGATGGACCTACTCGGCCTTCTCTGGAGAGGAGATCACACAGTGTGCGACTGCCCCTGATTGGCTTCTGTCACTCACCGTGTTGTTTTCGAGAGTCACCCAGGTGGGGGCAGGCGCCAGCACTTCATTCCTTTTCATAACTGAATACTATTCCATCCTGTGGAGAGATGAGATTCTGTTAACCCACTCATCAGTTGATGAGCATGTGGGCAATCTTTCATTTTTTTATTCTGATAGTGAAGTAACGTTATGAATAGATTCTCAAGGTACAAAGGCAAACCAAATAGGGAAAGATAAAGGGAAAATATTCTATATAAAGCTCACCACTCCCTAGTGGCCCCTTAGATCTTATCTTCTGCCCGGAAGTGCCCACTGATGACAACTTGCTCTCGACCCCACCCCTCTGGGCCTTCATCTCTGGGTTCAACCATATCTGTTAGATTTCAATGCAGAGCTTTCTACTACACTGTGGCCTGTTTGGAAAGGGGCTTCTCCTTTGCCCTGCATGACCTATATGGCTTCTGGGTCAAACCAAGCCAAACCGAGGCCACTGCTGTTGAGTCTGTTGGGACTCACGATACCCACCCTGTAAGACAAGAAGAGAACTGTCCCAGGGGTGTCCACGGGTACCCAGAAATCGTTACAGAAGCCAACTGCCACCTCTTTCTCCTGCTGAGCGAGGAGGAGCGGCTGGTGGGTTCAAATCGCCAGTCTTTCAAGCTGCCAACCTTGGGGTTGGCAGACAAGTGCTCTGTATCTTCTGGGTAAAGTGGGCCCCCTGGGGTGGGGGGTGGGGAGCTTGCCGTGCAGGGACCTGTCCATACCTGGGCGCATTGACTGTTCAGGTGTGGACGGGACGGTGAGCGGCTGGGAGGAGGCCAGAATCAACAGCTCCAATCCACTGCGCTACGACCGCCAGCGAGGGGAGTTCACGGTCACTCGGGCTGGGCTCTACTACCTGTACTGTCAGGTAAGCCCATGGCTAGGAGAAGGCTTGGGTGGAGAGGAAGAGCGTGGGGGTTGGGGCAGGATGGGCCACCTGGGTCTTTTAAGGAAATTGAAGGGAGGCCTGGACCTGCCTGTCTCCCCCACCCGCCCCAGGTGCACTTTGATGAGGGGAAGGCGGTCTACCTGAAGCTGGACTTGCTGGTGGATGAGGCCCTGGCCCTGCGCTGCCTGGAGGAGTTCTCCGCCACAGCTGCCAGCTCCCTGGGGCCCCAGCTGCGCCTCTGCCAAGTGTCCGGGCTGTTGCCCCTGAGGCCAGGGTCCTCCCTGAAGATCCGCACCCTCCCCAGGGCCCACCTCAAGGCGGCCCCCTTTCTCACCTACTTTGGGCTCTTCCAGATTCACTGAGGGGCTCTGGCCTTCCGGAGGGTCACCCAGGCCACTGGCCTGCCACAGCTCTCCAAGCCCCTCGGCCCACCTCAAATGGCTCCTCACTCCAGAGCCTTGTTCTCCAGGGGCCTCTGCTTGTTGGCACCTTCACACCCCCTCGCCTCCCCCCACCTGGGGCTTTCCACCTCCCTCCCCCATTTACAATCTCCTAGCCCCACCCTGATCACGCCCCCCACCCCAGAACACTGTGTTTACTGCATCCTGGGGGCCAAGATGGGTCTGGAAGATGCCTCTTCAGGCGCAAAGCGGGGCTGGACCTGGCGGCAGGAAGCGGAAGAGCCCGGGAGGAGACCTGGTATCCCCAACCATGAGGCATCTCAGAGACCCCAACCAGCTCCACCCGATGCAGCCCTGTGGATTTTTTTTTAAAGATCTTATTTTTATTATTATTGTGACAAAATGTTAATGAGTGGGTATTAAAGAGAGTAAGCCACCACTTCTCCTCCTTACTGGGGCTTCAGGGGTGTTCTCTGGGTAGCTGAGGGTCCTGGGAAGGGGTCTGGACCTCGGGGTGTATAGGCCTGGGAGCAGGGGCCTGCGTGCCTCTCACTGCCACACGTGAGCCAAGAAATGAATGACAAAGAGCCCAGGAAGAAATCACTCCTCTGGCCAGGTGCTGTGACACTGGCCTCATTTACCTAGGGGTGGACTTCCTCTTCCCGGGGGGAAATCCCTAGTGGGCCCTTCCCTTTGTCAGCCGGGGGTGGGGGGTGCATTCGGCAGGCGCTCACAGGCCCTGGCTCTGGTGCAGGATGGGAGCAGACCTGGAGGGGGGTCACAGACAAGTGTTCCAGGCCCGGGGTTTGGGGAGGAGGTCGCCAGTGGCTAGGGTGCTGTGGCTGGCGCTCGGCTCTCTTTTCATCCACAGCCTTATGTAAGAGCATTTATTGGGAAACAGGAAGTCTCTCGCTTGCCAAGTTCAGCAAAGGGAGCAGTGCAGGCCCTATTCCAACACACCCAGCCTGGCCTTAACCCCAGAGCTCAGTCAGTCTCCAGCTTCCTTGACTCTGGCTCTCCTCCCTACCTGCTGGGGGCGGGGGTGGTGGGGGTGGGGGGCTCCTGTCCCACCTGTCACCCCTGGAAACATCCCCAGAGATACCCCCCTCACCTGAGTCCCTCACTGGCCTTGCCCCTGACCTGAAACACTGACCAGTTTGTCCCTCTATCCCTCCTGGCACCTTGCCC